CCTTTTGCTTGTTTTTTTTTTGTTTGTTTGTTTGAGTAAACAGAATAAGCACATCGCAACAATAATGGTCATTTAGTACTGGGAAAAAGTAAGACGGACAGACAGTTTTAGTTTTAGTAAAAGTAAGTTTTACGGCACTTGCAACACAATAAGGTCATATAAGCGTCAAATTTTAGAAAGGTTACAAGAGAGTAACAATCATAAAAAAGAAGGAGGAGAGATAAAGACGATAGATGTTTGACAAAAAAGGTGAAGCAAACCACGGAGAGACAGAAACAACAGCGGGTAAGTAAAGGAGTATGGCCTACCAATGGCGCCCTTCAACAACCCGCTTTAGGAAGAGAGCTTCGATAGGTGTCTCACGGCCAACCTGGCCGGGACTAGAGGATTACAACGCCCAAGCAGAAGACCGAGACATTCGATACAAATTCTCCTCTCATAAGAATCGAACTAAGGTTATCAACCTACGACGGCAAAGCGCCTAATCGCTACACCACAGGCGCCAGTCTGGTAACGTCAACACAAACTGCACCCATAGTAAAACATAGAGAACAGAATGTATACAGCAAACTCACTGCGGTTGGTGGAAATTATCAGAGGAAATGGGTTAAGCCTCCCAGGACAGAATTTTGACATAATATGTGGAGGCGGGCTGCATTGACCCTGCCTGCTAGAGTCAAACTAGGATAAATGGGATACAGCACCCCAAAAAGACAGACGTTGTGAAAAAAAAAATTAATTTAAAAAAAAAATTCCTGATATGGGAATGGAACCCACATCTTGTGCGTGCAACGGCCAGGGGCACAGCCGCTACATCACATCATAGACAACAGTCTTTGGAACTTATGAAACACAAATAACAGTCCTTTAAACACGACTTAGTGTTAACCAGAACTCCCGCAAATTGTATAATATTTAAATACAAAGAACAAAATTCTAAATATTTGTAAAAGAATTGAAATAGCTTTTGCTCTCTCCTGAAAATATTTTGCTATCTGGGTGTAGAACAAATTAGCAACTCGTTTGGTTTCAGATTTAGAAAGGATTTTACGTCACGTACAAGACAATTAGATTATATAAGGGCCGAAGATTAGACGAGTTACCGCAGAGCAACATAACACAGAACAGAAGGAGGAGAGATAATGAAGGTAGATGTTTGACAGGAAAGAAGGGGCAATTAAACCAGACCAGAGCGCCGGCCGACCATCCATGAGCAGCTTTCCAAGGATAAAGAGGTTACTGACCGTGATCTGTGAAGTAGATGGCTGTGGTGAGCACAGGGTTAGTGGGCTCGGCTTGTGTCCACAGGACTTCCACCTCTGTGGGGCTGATGGCCACTGCTGACGTAATACGAGGTGGCTGGGGAGAACCGCCTGTCGAGAGAGAAGGGGGATTACTTGTTTTAGTGAGAGTTTTACGGCTCTTGTGTTAAGGTTGTTGTTGTTGTTGTTGTTGTGGCTGTTGTTTTTGTTGTTATTGCTGTCGTTGTTGTGTGTGTGTGCGTGCGTGAGCGTGTATGTGCGTGAGTGTGTTTGAGTGTCCGTCATGAGGACGTGTGTGTGTGTGTGTGTGT